GGCCCTCACGCCTTTCCTTCTGCTCAGCTCGACCTTGTCATCTGTTCCCTCCCTGCAGAAGTTCTCCTTGCCGCGTCTCCCGCCGCGCCAGTTCCCGCCCCCGCCCCTTCGAGCGCTGGCTCCGGCGCTGCCCCTCCGAAGCGCCCTGCATCCCGCGAGCACTCCGGCCGCGGGGGAGAGCTCCGGCACTGAACGCCCCGGGCATTTTGCCCCTCCGTCCTCGGCTCCTGCGTGCTTGCTTCCTCCCCACCGCGCTGGCGGCCTTCTTTCCTCCATGCCCCTCTGCTGCCAGGCGCGGAGTCCGCCTTTGCGGCCCCTCCTTCCTCCCTGCCTACCACGCCGGGTTGGCCAGGTGTCTCCCTGCTGACTGCGCGCTACGTCCCCGCGTGGAAGGTCCCACGCTGGGCAACGCTCCTCCTCGCTCCCATCTTTGGCCGGATGGCTATGCGCTTCCAGCTGCTATGGTGGTCCAGCTTGAAGGCCCTGCCGCGCGCTTTCCCCGCTGCTCCGACTTACTCCGCTTCGTCGCCGTGCGCGAGGCCGCGACTGTCTATTTTTGTTTGTTTGTTTGTTTGCTTGCTTGCTTGCTTGCTTGCTTGCTTGTAAGTTGATGTGTGTGTGTGTGTGTGTGTTAGTTAGTTTGTTTGTTTGTTGTTTGTTTGATGTTTGTTGCTGTTTTCATTGTTGTTGTCGTCGTCGTCGTTGTTGTTGTTGCTTCTGTTGTTGTTGTTGTTGGTGCTGCTGCTGCTGTTGTTGTTGTTGTCGTCGTCGTCGTCGTCGTCGTCGTTGTTGTTGTTGTTGTTGTTGTTGTTGTTGTTGTTGTTGAACATTATTAATTCTAAAGAATAATTATTGTTGGGACCCCTGGTGCACGGCCCCCCCGCCGCGCCTAGGCCGCAGCTACATTTTCATCATTTTTTCGCGAAAGCTTCAGAAAAGTGGATGGGGTCCAGATCCGGTTGTTTTGTTGTAATCCGTTTTCCCTTGCAAAAAACACTATAAAATGACATTTCTTGTTCTAATATAATCAAATTTCAAGAATCCCTTGCAAAAAATAAGGTAAAGTGGACATTCGCGCGCGCAAGACGAAATCCTTCCAAAAGCTTAGTGTTCGGAGCGATTTTAACATAAAAACATCAAAAAACCAATGGTTTTTCAACAAAAAAATGTCAAAATCTCATCCCGCGCGCTCTTGCGGATTCGTAGGAAACCCAACACTTTTTAAACATTTCTGTCAAACGGGCTTTTGCGAGCAACTTTTTCGAACTTCTGCGACAACGGTTGCGCACCTGCCAGGGCCATCATCCCTGTCAAATAATACCATGCGGGACACATTCGTTTTTTCTTCGCGCGCGCACGCCGAAATCTCTCGGCCATTGGGCCCTGAATAGTAGCCACGGTCGTCCGCACGCCACGAAGTGAAGTGTCCCAACGTCATAGGGCGGGAAGCTGGGTTTGGGTGGTCGCGAAGAGTCGTTTGGATATTTGGTAGAGCTTGTAATGCCCCCCCACGAAGTGGGGGTATTGCCTGGTGTCGTATGAAAACCCTGGCACTGGTGAGAACGGAGTGTTCCCCACGTGTTGTTGTTGTTGTTGAACACTATTACTTCTAAAGAATTATTATTGTTGGACCCCCTGGTGCACGCCCCCCGCCCAAAACCTAGGCCGCAGCTACATTTTCATCATTTTTCTGCGAAAGCTTCAGAAAAGTGGATTACCCCCGGATCCGGTTTTTTGTTGACGCTCGTTTTCCCTTGCAAAAAACAATAGAAAATGAAAATTCTTGTTCTTAGTTGATCAAATTTCAAGAATCCCTTGCAAAAAATAAGGTAAAGTGGACATTCGCGCTCGCAAGACGAAATCCTTCCAAAACCTTAGGTTTCGTAGCGATTTTAACATAAAAACATCAAAAACCCAATGGTTTTTTAAGAAAAAATTGTCAAAATGTCCTTCCGCGCGCTCTTGCGGATTCATAGGAAACACACCACTTTTTAAACATTTCTGTCAAAAGGGTCTTTGCGTGCTACTTCTTCAGGTGCTTTGAACTTCTCCAACAACGGTTGCGCGCCTGCGTATGTCACGAACCTTGTATACATGTGTTTCTCTCCCTCCGTCTGGCTGTGCACGCGCGCGTTGGGCACTGAGAGTTAGGATCATAGCGCCATGAGTCTATGAGCAATGCATGCGTCATCCTTGGGACTGTATAACATCAGTGTAACACATGTACTTCTGTAATCGCATCCCCACGAATTTGCCCCAAAAATGTGACCAACTATCTTGGCACTGCGTACCATCTCACGTGTACCGTGTACCACATCATATGTAACAGATGTGATCAACCTCTGTGGGTGTGTACCCCACGCCAGTGTAGTAGCCAGGGTCGTCCGCACGCCACGAAGTGAAGTGTCCCAACGTCATAGGGCGGGAAGCTGGGTGTGGGTGGTCTCGAAGAGTCGTTTGGATATTTGGTAGAGCTTGAACGGCCCCCCCACGAAGTGGGGGTATTGGCTGGTGTCGCAAGAAAACCCTGGCACTGGGGAGAACACTGAGCGTTCGGGTAAAATGATTGTTGTTGTTGTTGTTGTTGTGTTGTTGTTGTTGTTGTTGTTGTTGTTGTTGTTGTTGTTGTTGTTGTTGTTGTTGTTGTTGAACTCTCATTCTTGAAGAATAATTATTGTTGATCCCCCCCCACCGGTGCACATTGATTTTTTTCGATTGAAGTGCCACCCCCGGGGCTCGCACCTTGTTTTTTCTCAAGGAAAGTCTTCCTGCTCAAACTGTGCCCCTGCCCCCCGGGCTACAACAACAACGGCTCCCGCCTGAGACTTCCTCGATTTTTACTCAGGACCCCCGCTCCCGCCTGAGACTTCCGCGCAATTTACTCAGGAAAGGCGCTCCCGTTTGAGACTTCCTCGCAATGTAATCAAGACCCCCGCTCCCGCCTGAGACTTCCGTGCAATTTACGTGGGAACGGCGCTCCCGCCTGAGACTTCTTCGAATTTTACTCAGGACCCCCGCTCCTGCCTGACATTTCCGCGCAATTGACTCAGGAACGGCGCTCCCGCCTGAGACTTCCTCGCAATTTAGTGAGGACCCCCGCTCCCGCCTGAGACTTCCGTGCAATTTGCTCAGGAACGGCGCTCCCGCTTGAGACTTCCTCGCAACTTAGTCAGGGCCCCCGCTTCCGCCTGAGATTTCCTCACAATGTACTCAGGACTGCGCTCTCGCGTGCGACGTCCTCACAAATTATTCTGGAATTGCGTTTCGGCGCTCAGGAACCACGCACGCGCCAAGGACGCCTTCACAACGTGGTATCTTCCCTCTTCCTTCGTCCTTCCCCCTCCCCTTCCTCCCACTCTCCCTCGTTCTTCCCCTCCTCCTCTTGCAGGGCCCGCGCCAATTCCAATGGCGGGCAGAGAGATGTACGCCCCCGAAGGATTGTCCGCCCGTTCCGGTTTGCCCGTACGTCTAAGCCCGCCGGCCCCAGCAAAGAGAAATAATCCCCCCGAAAGGGGTGTGATCGAAGACGAAGAGGGCGGGTATCGAGGGTGTAGGGTATACGTGTTGAATGACTCGCGGGCAAGTAAGAGCGTACAGCCTTAAAATGGTTGTTGTTGTTGTTGTTGTTGTTGTTGTTGTTGTTGTTGTTGTTGTTGTTGTTGTTGTTACGGTTACTTTTCATTGTTGTTGTTGTTGTTGTTGTTGTTACTGATGCTACTGCTGCTGCTGCTGCTGCTGCTGCTGTTGTTGTTGTTGTTGTTGTTGTTGTTGTTGTTGTTGTTGTTGTTGTTGTTATTGGTGGTGGTGGTGGTGGTGGTGGTGGTGGTGGTGGTGGTGATGGTGGTGGTGGTGGTGGTAATGGTTATGGTGGTGGTGGTGGTGTGTATGTGTGTGTGTGTGTGTGTCTGTGTGTATGTTCCAGTCTCTGGACCGCGGCGCTGTGCGCGCGGTCGCCGACCAAAGAGTGTGTGTCTGCCTGCCTTCCTGCCTGTCTGCCTGCCTGCCTGCCTGCCTGCGTGCCTGCTTGTCTGTCTGTCTGCCTGCCTGCCTGCCTTTCTGTTTTGCCAAACGGGAGTCCGAGTGGCCGCCCGCCAGGATGGCGAGGCCAGCAGGAGGGGTGAACGCGACAAGCACTCGCGTTACCCATGCGAGCGCCTGGTCCTCTTCGTCCAATTGGTCTGGGGGGGAATGGGCGCCGAGGCCCGCCTCTGGCTGAAGGCCGAGGTGAACAGGCAGGACGACCAGGACCAGCAGCGCGAGCTGGCCCGCGCCCGCCGGGTGCTCAGCTGCGGGCTCCACAGCGAGCTTGCGCGCCAGCAGCGCGCCGCCGCGGGCCTGCGCCGAGGCGTCAGCGGGCGGCGCGCCGCTGCGCAGGAGACAGCGGCCGCGCGCCGCCGCGGGCCCGCGCTGGCGCGCCTGAGAGCCACTAGCGACAGCGCCCGAGGCCGCTACGCGGCGGGCGCCTCGGGAGCGGCGGCGAACCGGAAAAGGGCCCACCCCCGCAGACGCCAGCTGCGCGCCGCGACTGGCTCGCCCCGACGCCTCTGAGAGCTGCGACAGCGCCGGGGGCCGCAGCGCGGGCGGGCGCCGCGGATTTGCCGGAGCGCGAGCCAGCGCGGGGCCCCCGCCGCGGTGCTGCCGAGCAGGCTCGGCGCGGCGCGGGCGACGCGGCGGCCGCCGCGCAGGGCGGGCTCTGCCGTGCGACGCGTGGCGCGGCGGGACTCCCGCCCGGCAGCTTCGCTCGCCATCCTCTTTCCTCCTTCCCCCTCTTGGGCTATCCGGACCGCGCGTTGGGCTTGCTCCGCGTCGTGGCTCTCGTTCCCCAGGCGCGGCTGGGGCGCGCCCTCGAGGCGCGGCTGGTAGGTGGACCAGCAGCTTGGGGGCCCGAGAGTGTCAGTCAGTCTGTCTGTCGTTCTGTCTATCTATCTGTCTGTCTGTCCGTCTGTGTTTCTGTCTGTCGGCCTGTCTGTCTATCTGTTTGCCTGCCTGTGGTATGGCTCAGGACTTCCCCTCCCCTCCCCCCTCCTGCAGCAAGGGCCGCGCCCCTCCCCCCCAGCTCCGGGCGCCGGCGTGGAGCTGCTCCCGCCCCGCCGGTCCGTGGAGGGCGTCTGTGCACCGCGCTCTGGCCGTGCCAGGCCAGAGCCCTCCTGGGCCAGGGGATCGTGTGCAGATCCTTCTGGCCTCCGCCAGGAGGGCGTGTGGCCACGCCTCCCGCGTGGGGTCGGACAGGATGGAGTCGGAGGATCGCGCCGCATCGCGGATGCATCTCCGATACGCTTGGCTGTGAAACCTCATTTTCTCAGCGCCGACGTCGCCGATACATTGCAGACGTCGCCGACGCATCGGCGATGCATCGGCGATGCGGTGCGATTCTCCGACCCCAGTTACTCGGCCCCATCTATTTATTGAATCGCTTCGCTCATTCCGCCGGCCCTGGAGCCCTCTTTAGGGCCTCTTGGGGGCCCCTTGGGGACCTCTTGGGAGTCTCTTGGGGCTCCTTGGCGGCGTCTTGGGGCCCCCCAAGGCCTCTTGGGGGGCTTTTGGGGGCCTCTTGGGGCGGGACGGGGGGTAGTCGATTGCGGCTCCCCCCCTCGGAGGCCACGATCCTCGTGAGGGGTGTCGAAAAATGGCCCTTCCCTGGAGTGCCCTGGGGGCTTCTCCCGGGCTTCTGCCGGGGTACTTGTCGTCCGGGGGCCCCCAGGGGCCGCTCCGCGCGCGCGAACTCGAAATATTGTTAACCAGTTGCCGGAGATCTCAGCACGCCTCTGGCCCGTTGGGCCAGCGAATACGCCATGCAAGGGTTCAGGATGGCTCTGTCCAGGCGCGGTGGCGGTGGTGCCCAGACGCCCTTGGGTCCGTTGGGGGGCCGGCGTCCGCAGGGCCCCCTGGTGCCATGCTGTCGCGCGTCGCGAAGAAGCGGCAACGAGAGCGGCAGGCGGGCGCCGCCGCGGAGGCGCCCCGCGGGCCGCCCCGCAAGCTGGCGAGGAGGGCCGCCGCCGTGGCGGGCTCGGCCTCCGCGGCGCTGCGGGTACGCGAGAGCGCGCTGTTCCGCCCAGGCCGCGCCATCGGCGTGGTGACCGACAGGTCCACCGCCACGGCATGCCCGCTTCGACCGTTGCGGAGTCGTGCCCTGGGCCCTGAGAGCCTGGCGCCGCAGTCTGTTCACAGCGGGTCGCACATCGGGACCTGGGGCCCTCACGCATCGATCTGGCCGGAAGGATGCCGCAGGTAGACGGGGCCCGGGGCTCCAGTCGAGTTTTCCCACGATGCTGTATGATTTCGTGACGTCGGATCTCAGGGGGGCCCCCAGGAGTGGTGGGTGGAGGTGTCTGCCTGCCCCTGCGGGTTCGAAGGTGTCCACGTCCACTGCTCCCTGGGGGCCTCGGGCAGGACTGCAGGCGCTGTGGGCATGCACGTGTTTTGGCGGCGCAGCAGGGTGCCGTTTGCCCACGCCTCGCTGGGCAGCGCAGACTTCCTGACGGTCGGCATTGGGCGCGGCTTCCAGGTGTTCGACTGCAAGAAGCTCCGCCTTGCGTACATCGGCCCGCGCCTGAATGAGAAGGTGCGTACGCTGCTGTGCGTGGGCGAGGTCGTGCTGACCGCCCTCAAGGCGGACATCGTAGCCTGGCACAAACTCGTGGAGCTGGGCCGCTTCCGAGGGCACAAGAGCGCGGCGGGGGTGCTCTGCGCCGTCGGCGCCGCGTACCTTGTCTCCGCCTCGCGGACAGAGGTGCTGGTCTGGCGGCTCTCGGACGTCGGCCTCGAGCCGCCTGTGGACGCGTCTGGGAGTGCGCAGAAGCCCGCCAAGTGCGTCCTGAGCGCCCTGGGGCGCCTGGAGACGGCCGACGACTTCGGCACTTGCACGGCCGCGTGCCACATGCCCACCTACCTGCACAAGGTGCTGCTGGGCAGCGACTCTGGCGGCCTGGTGCTTTGGAACGTGCGCACGCTGCAGCGGGTGCACCAGTTCCGCGCCCACACCGCAGACGGGAGGGCGAGCAGCGCCGTCACTTGCCTGCAGGAGGTGCCCAACGTGCTCGACCTGGTGGCCATGGGCTTCGCCAGCGGGCGCATCTGCATCCTGCACGCCAAGGAGGACCGCGTCGTCAGCGAGTTTGATCAGACACAGGGCCGCGTCACCGCGCTGAGTTTCCGGACTGGTGCCTCGGCGCCCGCCCAGATGGTCAGCGGGTCGCCGAGCGGGACTCTGGTGGTCTGGGACCTCCAGAAGCGACGAGCCCACCACGTGAAAGACGCGGCGCACCACGGTCAGGTCGTGTCGGCCTGCTTCCTGCCGGGGCAGCCGCTGCTGTTCACGTCGGGCTGCGACAACGCCATCCGCCTGTGGGTGTTCGACACGCCGGACGGGCTGCCCAGGCTGCTCCAGACGCGCAGCGGGTGCCCGGGAGCCTGCCGGTGGATCGGCTTCTACAGCACCAGCGACGACAAGGAGCTGATCGTGGGCGGCGGCGCGGGGGAGCGCGGCTTCGTCTCCAAGGTCTCGTTCATTCAGGATCCCCAGGGGGGGGCACTGGGCTCACTTCCGCTGGCTTCCTCCCCCAGCTCCTCCTCCCTCCATCTCCCAGCCCTGTATCTCTTGTTTTCATCCACCTCCTCTTCCCCTTCTCCTTTTCCGTCCTCCCCGCCCTCTTTCCCTTTCCCCTCTTACCTCTCCTGATTGCCCCGTCCTCGTCCTCCCCTCCAGTTCCACTTCTTTCCCATTTTCTCGTCCACTCCCTTCCTTTTTCCCTCCTCTGGCCCCCCCTCTCTTCTTCCCCTCTTCCAGCGGGGCGCGGCGCAAGAGGGAACGCGGCATGCGAAGGTTTCGTTCGCTCCTAGAGAGGGGGGGGGTGGAGAGGGAGGGAGAGGGAGGAGGAAAGAGGGAACCGAGGAGGCGCAACTAGTAAAAAGAAGTTGTGGAGGGATGATGATGATAATGCTGCTGCTGCTGATGGTGATGATGATGCTGATGATGCTGATGATGATAATGATGATGATGATGATGATGATGATGATGATGCTCATGACGATGATGATGACGGTGATGACGATGATGATTTTGATGCTGATGCTGATCATGAGGAGGAGGACGACGACGAAGACGATGCTGATGAGGATGATGACGATGAGGATGCTGATGATGTTGCTGATAATGATGATGCTGCTGCTGCTGCTGCTGCTGATGATGATGATGATGATGATGATGATGATGATGATGATGATGATGATGATGATGATGATGATGATGATGATGATGATGATGATGATGATGATGATGATGATGATGATGATGATGATGATGATGGCGGCAATGATGACGATTATGATGAGTATTACGTTAATCATTCTAGACGCTTCGCGGATCCTCACCAGCTGGCTCGCCTCTGGGTCCTTCTGCGATCTGGCCAAGGACGTTCCTTTCGAGGACACGCAGGAGCTATGCAGGCAGCTCGACAGCACCCCCATCAGCGGGCACAGCGACAACGATTGGTGGAAACAGTTCAACGACGAACGGAGGGAGACTGCCGACCCACCTGCTGAGTTGCACACCTTTGCCGCCCACACGTTTGATCAACCTGACTGGGGCAACATCGCATCCTCCCCCTCGACGCCTGCACGGAGTGGAACCAGCCCTCCCCTCGCAAGTAGGGCCAGTTCCCGCCCCCCAGCAGACAGCCACTCAGGGCGGGCGAGCCCAACCGCCGACGACCCCGGCGCTGGTGCAGCGGCCCCGGGCACGTCCCCCCCGCGGAGGCCTACTTCAACGGGATATGGCACCAGTGGACGACCAAGCACCCCACCAAGTCCGGCCACGTTTGTGCCGACCCAACTAAGCAGGAACCCGAATCATGCCTGCGTTTCCTCAAAGATGGCACCGCCACGAGTGCCACGCCATGAAGATGGACGCCGCGCTTCGCCTGGGCGTCGATTCGCCTGCGGTCCGTAGTCGGTTCACAGACAGGATCAAGGGCAAGGGCACCCCAGGCAAAGCCAAAGGCAAGGGATTTCGAGAGGGCAATGACACCAGCTGGACGCAGGCATGATGCTCCGGCTGTGGGGCCGGTCCGCCGGTCCGGCGGGCCCGGCGGGCCCGGCGGCCCCGGCGGCCCCGGCGGCCCCGGCGACCCCGGCCCCGGCGGCCCCGGCGGCCCGGCGGTCCCGGCGGCCCCGGCGACCCTGGCGGCCCCGGCGGCCCCGGCGGCGGCGACCCCGGCGTCCCCGGCGACCCCGGCGGCCCCGGCGGCCTCGGCGGCCCCGGCGACCCCGGCAACCCCCATAGCCGGAGCATCATAAGTCGCTGGGCGAGGATGGGGGAACCTTGGCGGTCTGCGAGCTCGCGCCAGCCCTGGGTGTACTCCTGATGCCCTGTCCAGGCCTTCACGGGCGCAGGCACGCCATGCCTGCGCCCCAGGCCAGTGACGTCCCACGCTGTACATCAGTGTCTCCCATGATAGCACCAACCCCCGCCGCGCAGGCGTGCCTGGTTGGCCTCTCCAGCGCACCACCTGTGCCGTGCGCCTAATACTGCCGTGGGCGCGCCCAGCTGGGGCTGTTGGCTCGTCCCGGGCATTCAAGAGTTCCTTCCAGGTCCTCATTTTGCGGCCATTCTCCCCTTGGATGACTGCCGCCCCCCCTGGTACGCCTTAGACGAACCCGGGGGCTGTCCCTTCTCCCCTGCGGGCCTCCTGTGCTACTGCCAGGGCCCCCAGCGCCATTTGCAGCCTAGTGCTGCCCTGCACAGCGTCTTCCTGGACTGTGCTTGGCATCCAACGCCCCCCCGGCAACGGGAGGCCGTTCACCGCTCCGCAAACCACCTACCCTGGCGGCTGACACCTGCCGCGGCGCCATGTCAGTCGAGGGCCCCCCACACCTTCCGCCCTTACGGAGCCACTGCGCTCTCCTCTTCGGCTGCCACCCCTGCTCCCCGGCTGCGTCCCCCGCCCGCTTCCTGGTCCCCGTCCCCCACTGTGCTTCACCTTGCCCGCTGCTGTTAGCTGCTTCCCCGCGCCCGCCCCCCGCCCGCCCCCTTGCCCCCGTCCCCGCGCCGCTCTGTCTCTACTGCTGGTTGCGGCTTCCGCCGCCGCCCCTCGTCCGCCCCCCCGCCTCGGTCCCCGCCCCCCACGGACATTTTACCGTTGCTGCGGCTTTTAGCTGCGTTCACTACCCGCCCCCCGTCCGCCCCTTTTCCTCCGCCCCCCACGCCCCCCGCGGTTTCTTCGCAATTTCTGCGGCTGTTAGTTGCGTCCTCGCCCCCGCTCCCCGTCCGCCCCCGTGCCCCCGCCGGGGGGTGCCCAGGTCCACCGCCGCGTGGCCTGGCCCACCGCCCCCCGTCGCTCCCCGCCTCCGCTGGCCCCCCCCCCCCGGTTCGCGGCGCCCCCCCTGGGGCGCCGGGCCGGCGCCAGCGGCGCTTGGCCGTGCCGGCTGCCACTCTCGTCCGGCCCCCCCGCGCCGGCACTTCGGTCGACTGGGCCAGGCTTCCACCCGAGCGCGGTTGACCTGTGCGGGCCACGACGCTCGCTGAGGGCTACTCCGTCGTCGAGTGCGCACTGGCACATAGACGCCCTCGGGCAATGAGTTCTGCTGCCGACGGCTGGCCTCCGCCCCACATGCGAGTGACGGCTGGCAGCGACGCGCGCTGACTATCACGACGGGTGTCAGCTGGCGGCGACCTTTGTTTCTCCTTCCGCTTGCTTCTTCGCTGCGCGTGTGGCGAGCACCTGCGCGACGGCTGTCCTGGCTCTTCATCCTGAGACTGACGCCCTAATTCACTCACCACTTTGGCGTGCATCGACGCCCTCTTCTTGGACCTCCTCGGCCTGGCGGACTTCCTGGGCTACTCCGGGTAGCGCGCTCTGGTCGCTTTGGCTCCCCTTTAGGCCGTAATTTAGAATTTGGCGCGGCTGCCTCATCTCTTCACGGCGCGCGGTCGGGTAGCCCCACCAGCGTTGATACTCCAGACAGCTGGGGGCCCCTCTCGCTCCCCCCCTCATGAAGCCGGTCTACGGCGACGAGGTGCCCCAGGACTTCCGTTCCCCAGATTTCCACTGGAGCGGCAAACGGCTAGCTGCCGCGCGCTGGTGCACATCTCTGCGTCAACTCCCCAGACAGCAAGCTGCGCCGTGCCTCGGCCCTGCGCGTCAACGACACAGGCCCGATGCGTGGCTGCTCCCCCCCCGGCACGCGCTGGAACCAGTCATTGGGTTCCTGGGCCAAGTCGAGCCTGACTTGCTCGCCGCTGGAACTCTGCGCGAGCTGGCCAAGGACTGCCCCTTCACAGAAACCCATGACCTGTGCAGCCAGCTGGGCGCCGCCCCCGCCAAGGAACGCAGCGCGAACGAGGGGTGGCTACGATTCGGCAGTCGGTCCCCACCCGCCGAGGTCCGTTCTCTTACAAACCCCTCCTCGGATCTGCCTGACTGGGCTCCTTCAGCGCGCTCCCCCACGTCGCGCGCGCAGCGCGGGCGCAGCCCGCTTCAGTCCGCGAGGCCCAGCCCGCGCCAGTGGAGAGCTGCCCGGCACGGAGGAGCCCAATTGCTGGAGGCCCTGCTGTCAGGGCACCGTTCCGGGGCTCCGGCTCTTCCCCCCGCAGGGTCAGTGCATCGAGGGCCTCCCCCGAAAACTAGCGCCGCCCAGGCGGTCCCCAGCGACGCCGTCTCCGACGCCTCTGCTGCTGGGGCCCCCGAGGCTGAGTCCGCCCCCGCCCCCCCTGCGCCAAGGAAGGCGGCCGTGGTCGTCCTGGCCCTTGCCCCTAGCTCGGCTCCACCTTCGCCACCCAGGGGGACCGCCCGCAGCCCATCAGTTGGCTCCGACTACTGCAGCCCCACTTCACCGGCGGTTGAGTCAGGTGAGGGCCCCCCGCCGCGCGCGGCAGGCGATGCGGGCGCGGTCGGCCCGTCCGACAACACAGCCACATCCCCCACCCCGGACGCGCCCCTTAGAGCCCGCGCGCATGTCCCAGTAGGTCCCATAGAACCCGTATAATGTCCCAGTATGTCCTGTAGAGCCCGTATACATGTCCCAGCAGGTTGTAGATGTCAGAGGAGCAGCTCGTTCGGCTGGTGCGCACATCGAAATTATGCACAGGATCTCAGTGGGATGCTATTTGCCATTCGTTTACAAAACCTTGTGGTGGCAGCGGACGTTGCGGAGTTGCGGTTGCGCCCCCCCATTTGCAACTGGGGGCGTGGCACCAGGATCCCGGCTTTACCTTGTTGAACATTATTAATTCTAAAGAATAATTATTGTTGGGCCCCCTGGTGCACGCCCCCCCCGCCGCGCCTAGGCCGCAGCTACATTTTCATCATTTTCGTGAGGAAGCCTCAGGTAAACGATGTGATCCAAGATCCGGTTGTTTTGTTCCCCCCCGCTTTCCCTTGCAAAAAACACTATAAAATGACATTTCTTGTTCTAAAATAATCAAATTTCAAGAATCCCTTGCAAAAAATAAGGTAAAGTGGACATTCGCGCGCGCAAGACGAAATCCTTCCAAAACCTTAGTTTTCGTAGCGATTTTAACATAAAACATCAAAAGACCAATGGTTTTCCAAAAAAAAATTGTCAAAATTTCATCCCGCGCGCTCTTGCGGATTCGTAGGAAACCCAACACTTTTTAAACATTTCTGTCAAACGGGCTTTTGCGAGCAACTTTTTCGAACTTCTGCAACAACGGTTGCGCACCTGCCAGGGCCATCATCCCTGTCAAAATACCATGCGGGACACATTCGTTTTTTCTTCGCGCGCGCACGCCGAAATCTCCAAAAACCATTGGGCTTCTTAAGAATTCTAGCACCGCGCATCATAAAATCACACGAATCGCACCGTAGGTCCTCGAAAAACACCTGCACGACTTTTCAAAATTTCTACCCGCGCGCGCTGTCCGATTCCAAAAAAAACCAATGGTTTTCCAACATTTATGTTACATGAGCTCGCGCGAGCTACTGTGTACTCCACGCCAGTGTAGTAGCCACGGTCGTCCGCAGGCCACGAAGTGAAGTGTCCGAACGTCATAGGGCGGGAAGCTGGGTGTGGGTGGTGGCGAAGAGTCGTGTGATATTTGGTAGAGCTTGCACTGCCCCCCCACAAAGTGGGGGTATTGGCTGGCGTCGCATGAAAACCCAGGCACTGGTGAGAACCCTGAGCGTTCGGTAAAGTGGATTGTTGCTGTTGTTGTTTGTTGTTGTTGTTGTATGTTTGTTAGTTCGGTGTCGATGAAGTTGTTGTTGTTGTTGAACATTATTCCTTCTAAAGAATTATTATTGTTGGGGCCCCTGGTGCGCGACCTCTGCGCCGCGCCTAGGCCGCAGCTACATTTTCATCATTTTTTCGCGAAAGCTTCAGAAAAGTGGATGAGCTCCGGATCCGGTTTTTTGTTGACGCTCGTTTTCCCTTGCAAAAAACAATAGAAAATGAAAATTCTTGTTCTTACTTGATCAAATTGCAAGAATCCCTTGCAAAAAAAAAGGTAAAGTGGACATTCGTGCGCGCAAGACGAAATCCTTCCAAAACCTTAGGTTTCGTAACGATTTTAACATAAAAACATCAAAAACCCAATGGTTTTTTAAGAAAAAATTGTCAAAATGTCCTTCCGCGCGCTCTTGCGGATTCGTAGGAAAACCAACACTTTTTAAACAATTCTGTCAAACGGGCTATTGCGAGCAACTTTTTCGAACTTCTGCGACAACGGTTGCGCACCTGCCAGGGCCATCATCCCTGTCAAATAATACCATGCGGGACACATTCGTTTTTTCTTCGCGCGCGCACGCCGTCGTCGTCGGCCGCGGGGCCCTGAATAGTAGCCACGGTCGTCCGCATGCCACGAAGTGAAGTGTCCGAACGTCATAGGGCGGGAAGCTGTGTGGGTGGTGGCGAAGAGTCGTTTGGAAATTTGGTAGAGCTTGAACCGGCCCCCCCACAAAGTGGGGGTATTGCCCGCCTCCTATGAAAACCCTGGCACTGGTGAGAACGGAGTGCCCCCACGTGCTAGTAATTGTTGTTGTTGTTGTTGTTGTTGTTGTTGTTGTTGTTGTTGAACATTATTACTTCTAAAGAATAATTATTGTTGGGGCCCCTGGTGCATGCGTGTGGGTCACTTTACAACCAGAAGCGCACTTTACAACCAGATGGGTCACTTTACAACCAGCTTACAAAATCCGAGAAGGGCACTTTACAACCAGGAAGGGCACTTTACAACCAGGCAAGTAAAAACACACATTGAATGCACGCGTGCCTTTCCCTGAAATCTCCGTGGGCAAGCGCAAGGGTGGCTTTGGGCTCTTTGAGGAATGTTGGTTGTAAAGTTGCCCATCGCGCACGAAGAAGCACTGCGCACGAGTTGGCGATGCGGCGACCTGGTGCGCTATGGCATGTTGCGTGCTGGTGGGCGGGTTCGAGTTTTGACCTGCTCTCTAAGCTCTGTCGGTCAGTTCTGCCATTGCTTGCTCTGCCTTTTTCTGACGGGCGAAGGCTAGTCGCGCAGGACATACGAATAAACCATGATCCCGTCCAAGACTGGAGCTGCATGGCAGTGGAAAGCTGTAGTGGGAGATGTGGTGGTAGCGGGGGCTACAATGGGAACTGCGTGGTGTTGGGAAGCTGCGGTGGCAACTGTGGTGGTCGCCAGGCAGCGGTGGGAACTGTGGTGGTAGCTGGGCTGCAATGGGATTTGCGGTGGTAGCGGGGGGTCAGTCGGAATTGTGGAGGTAGCAGGGCTGCAGCGGTAAGTGTGGTGGTAGCAGGCACAGAGGTGGCGGTGATGCGCTGTCACGGTGGCTCAAGCTGCTGCGCTGGCAAGGTGGCTGAGGCTGCTGCCCGAGCAGGATACCTGCGTTGCTGCGCTGGCGCTGTGGCTGACGCTGGAAGGAGCGATCTTCGAAATAGTTGCATGTATTCGGAACGTTGAACCTCGATCTTCCAAGAAGAGGAGCAGCAGCGGGCCAACTGGAGCTGGGGCACTTAGCCCCTTGCAGAACACCGTGGAGCTTCAGGGGCCAACGTGGCCCAAGAGACCCGCGGTGCCAATGGCCTAGTTCCCTGGGGCGCTGGGCCCTTGTGGAGGCCACTGGGCTCGCTTCCTGTGAGTGTTCCCTAAAAGGGGCAGCGCGTCGCCCTGAGCCTTCCTACGTATGCTGTCGCCTTATTCCCGTGCGAGCACGGGGCCCTTGTTGAGGCCGCTTGGCCCCTGCTAGCAAGCCCTGTCTTAGCCTGCTGGGCTCAGAGCGCCAGAGCGTCCAGGCGCTCGGGCTCAGAGGCATCGCTGGGGCCTGCTCAGAGCGTCCAGGCGCTCGGGCTCAGAGGCATCGCTGGGGCCTGCGCAGAGCGCCCAGGTCCTCGGGCTCAGAGGCATCGCTGGGGCCTGCGCAGAGCGTCCAGGTCCTCGGGCTCAGAGGCATCGCTGGGGCCTGCGCAGGGCGTTCAGGCGCTCGGGCTCAGAGGCATCGCTGGGGCCTGGCGCAGAGAGTTCAGGCGCTCGGGCTCCAGAGCGCCCACGTGCTCTGGAGCACTTTTCAGAGCGTCCGCGCGCCCTGGAGCACTTTTGAGAGCGCCCACTTGCTCTGGGGCATTTTTCAGAGCGCCCACTTGCTCCGGGGCATTTTCCAGAGCGCCCACTTGCTCTGGAGCACTTTGCGGAACGCCCAAACACGCACGGCCACTCTGAGCTGGTTGTAAAGTGGTCCGTTCTGGTTGTAAAGTGGCCCGTTCTGGTTGTAAAGCGGTCCGTTCTGGTTGTAAAGTGGGCCGTTCTGGTTGCAAAGTGGACGTTCTCAATGAAAAACCATACTTTCCAATCCTATGTTGGTTGTAAAGTAACCCATCTGGTTGTAAAGTGGTTGTTCTGGTTGTAAAGAGATCGAATCTCCCTGGTGCATGCCCCCCTCGCCGCGCCTAGGCCGCAGCCTCATTTTCATCATTTTCGTGAGGAAGTCTCAGGCAAAACGGGTTGGTCCGGATCCGGTTGTGTTGTTACGATCGGTTTCCCTTGCAAAAAATAAGCTAAAGTGGACATTTCTTGTTCTAACATAACCAAACTTCAAGAATCCCTTGCAAAAAATAAGGTAAAGTGGACATTCGCGCGCGCAAGACGAAATCCTTCCAAAAGCTTAGTGTTCGGAACGATTTCAACATAAAAACATCAAAAAACCAATGGTTTTTCAACAAAAAAATGTCAAAATCTCATCCCGCGCGCTCTTGCGGAGTCGTAGGAAACCCAACACTTTTTAAACATTTCTGTCAAACGGGCTTTTGCGAGCAACTTTTTCGAACTTCTGCGACAACGGTTGCGCACCTGCCAGGGCCATCATCCCTGTCAAATAATACCATGCGGGACACATTCGTTTTTTCTTCGCGCGCGCACTCCGTCGTCGTCGGCCGCGGGGCCTTGAATAGTAGCCACGGTCGTCCGCATGCCACGAAGTGAAGTGTCCGAACGTCATAGGGCGGGAAGCTGGGTGTGGGTGGTCTCGAAGAGTCGTTTGGATATTTGGTAGAGCTTGAACGGCCCCCCCACGAAGTGGGGGTATTGCCCCGCCTCCTATGAAAACCCTGGCAGCTTGAGAAACGTTGTGTCACCCACGTGCTAGTAATTGTTGTTGTTGAGTTGTTGTGTTGTTTTGTTGTTGTTGCGGCTATCATTGTTTGTTGTTGTTGGTGTTGTTTGTTGTTTGTTGCTGGTGATTCTTGTTGACCTCCGGAAACCGATTCCCCCGCTCTCGCTTCGAATACGCCGGCCTACATTTTCACTGAACGAGGCAACTTCACCGCTCGTGAGGCGTTGGCTTGACCCTAACTGTGGGCCCTTGATGCCAGCTGCGACAACAACGGCTCCGCCAGATACTTCTACACAATTTTCCCCGTGACACCCTGGCCAGAGATGCGGCCGAAAACTCAGGAACAGCGCTCTCGCTCGAGAGCTCATCGCAACGCAATTAATTGGCGGAGGGCTCCAACTCAGAAACGGCGCTCTCGCTCAAGAGTTTCCCGTGATTCAGTCAAGTTGGTGGAGGCCCGGACATGGCGACAAGGGCTCCCGCTCGATATTTCTCCATAGGTATTCCGAGAGCCCCTGGCCAGAGAGGCCCCCGAACTCAGGAACGACGCTCTCGCTCGAGACTTCTTCGCACTTCAGTCAGTGGCCGACAAGGAAGAGATTCCCCACGAAAGGGGGTGCAATCGAATACGAAGATGGGCTGTTAATCGAACGATTGGGGTATACGGAAAATGCACAGACCCGTGCCACTAAGTAGCGAACAATCTTAAAATGATTGTAGTTGTCGTGACGTTGTTATTGTAGTTGTTTCTATTGCTGTTTGCAGATATAATTGTTCATTGATGTAGTGTTGCTGCTAGCAGTAGCTCGTTGTTGTAGTTTTTTAGATCATGAGTTGTTGTTGATTGGGCTGTTTTGGTTACTGTTGTTTTGGTATGAAATTTCCATTTCTGAAAGAATAATTATTGTCACCCCCCCCACCGTTGCATATTATATTTACACCGATCAATTGTGCCCCACGACGCTCGCAACCGTTTTTTTGACAGGGAAAGATCTTTTCATCTCAAACTGTGCCCCTGGCCCGGGTTACAACAACAACGGGCTCCCGCTGATTCAAATCTTCACAATAAAGCCAGGACCCCCGCTCCCGCCTGAGAATTCCTCGCATTTTATTCAGGAGTCGCGCTCTCGCTTGGGACTTGCTTTCAAATTATTTAGGAATCGCTCTCCCGGCGCTCTGGAATCGCGCTCTCGCTAGAGACTTGCTTTCAATGTGCTGAAGAATAGCGCCCTTGCGTTGGAATTTCTTGCAATTTGCTCAAGCGCCGCGCTCCCGACACCCAGGCACCCAGGAGTCGCGCCCGTTGTGGCCCATGTGCATGCCCTTCGTGGCCCCGCTGTCGCCGTTTGTGGCCCCCTCACTGTCCTGCGTGGCCCAATTGTTACCCTCAGTGGCCCCATCGTTGCTTTCTGTGGCCCCGCATTACCTGCCCTTCGTGGCCCCCGCTCGTTCGCGCTCTTCGTGGCCCCATACGCATTCCCTTCGTGTCCCCGCTGTCGCCCTTCGTGGCCTACTTCGTGTCCTTCGTTGCCCTGCTGTCGTTCTCTCTCGCTCTCGCTTTCGCTCGTCGTCGCCGTCGTCGTCATCATCGCCGTCGTCTTCGACGTCGTCGTCGTCGTCGTGGTCGGTCCCCTGTCCGTCCCTCTTGGGGTCGGGTCGACGGTCCGCGGCCGCCCCGCCGATCAGCGCTGCCGCTGGCCAGGCCGACGGTCCGCGGCCGCCCCGCCGCTTGCCGGGGCCCGGCCTGCAGGGAAGCAAGGTATACCCCCCAAAAGGGGTTCGATCGAAGACGAAGACGGCGGGTATCGAGGGTTTGGGAAATACGCGTAATTGGACACTCGAGCGGATAAGGGCGAACAGTTTTTAAATGACTGTTGTTGTTGTTGTTGTTGCTGCTGCTGTTGTTGGTGGTGTTGTTGTCGTCGTCGTTGTTGTTGTTGTGGTTATTGTTGTTGTTGTCGTTGTCGTTGTCGTTGTCGTTGTTGTTGTTGTTCCCTACCTAGGCTCTGCCTAGAGGGTTCTTACTCTCTTAGCTTAAAAGGGGCGGGCAGTGCAAAGCGCGCCGGGCGGTTCCCCCAGTCCCCGCCCCGCGGTTCCCCCAGGCACGTCCCCTTAGCTTAGCGTTGCTTATCTCATCTTAGCTTAGCTTAGCTTAGCTTAACCCAACTTAGCTTAGCTTAGCTTCAGCTTAGCTTTAGCTTAGCTTTAGCTTAGCTTTCCCTTAGCTTTCGCTTAGCTTTAGCTTAGCTTTAGCTTAGCTTCAGCTTAGATTCAGCTTAGCTTTAGCTTGGCTTTAGCTTAGCTTTAGCTTAGCTTTAGCTTAGCCTTAGCTTAGCTTTAGCTTAGCTTTAGCTTAGCTTTGGCTCAGCTTTAGCTTAGCTTTAGCTTAGCTTTAGCTCAGTTATAGCTTAGCGTTAGCTTAGTTTTGTCTTAGCTTCAGCTTAGCTTTAGTTTAGCTTTAGCTTAGCATTCGCTTAGCTTTAGCTTGGCTTTAGCTTAGCTCTAGCTTCAGCTTAGTTTTAGCTTCGCTTTATCGTAGCTTTAGCTTAGCTTTAGCTTAGCTTTAGCTTAGCTTTAGCTGAGCTTTCGCTGAGCTTTAGCTTAGCTTTAGATTAGCTTTAGCTTAGCTTTAGCTTACCTGCAGCTCAGCGTTAGCTTAGCTTTAGCTTGGCTTTAGCTTAGCTTTAGCTTAGCTTTAGCTTTTCTTTAACTCTTCTTTAGCTTAGCTTCGGCTTAGCTTTGGCTTAGCTTTAGCTTAGCTTCAGCTTAGCTTCAGCTTAGCTTTAGCTTAGCTTTAGCTGAGTTTTAGCCGGGCTTTAGCTGAGCTTTAGCTGAGCTTTAGCTTAGCGTTAGCTTAGCTTTAGCATTCGCTCAGCTTTAGCGTATCTTTACTGTTGCTACTAATGCTGCTTTCCTAGGGGCTTCAACTTCTAGGTAGGGTCGCACTGGGATAATTGTTGTTGTTGTTGTTTGTCGTCGCCGTCCCACCCGCGACCCACCCGCGACCCACCCCACGACCCACCCCGCGACCCACCCCGCGACCCACCCCGCAACCCACCCGCGACCCAACCCGCGACCCACCCGCGACCCACCCCGCGACCAACCCTGGACCCACCCGCGAACCACCCGCCATCCACCCCGCGACCCACCCGCGACCTACCCCGCGACCCACCCGCGATCCACCCGCGATCCACCCCGCGACCCACCCCGCGATAAGGAAAAACTGCCCGGACCTGACGATTGACGTTTACCACACGGCCCTGGGCGTTTACTAAACAGCCCCGCCCTGCTCGATTCATTCCTTGTGTGCGTTTACGAAACGGTTTCGCTTGTCGGGGTGATTATTATGGGGTGGATTTTCTCCCCTCTACCCCCGCGACCCATTCGCGACCCAACAGCGACCCACCCGAAACCCACCCGCGACCCATTTGCGACCCACCCGCGACCCACCCGCGACCTACCCACATTGGTTTAACGAAAAATCGGCGCCTGCGGCGGGCTCGTTACATAATTTGTGCAACTTTGGCGACTGCGGCGGGCTCCTCCAGAGTCTCGCAAACTGCCGACGTCCCCACCGCCCCCTCACTCTTATCCGCATCTGCGGGGCGCTCCGTAATATTCTGGCTTCCCGGGTGGCCGAAATATTACCACCATTATTGAAATCTAGGATCATCTTCCCCCTGTGGAGGCACCCCCCCCTGTGCTGGTGTTGGTGCCAATTTCCAGGCCTCCAACAGTCCGGGGGCGCTCGGAGGATTTTATTGGGAAATGTGGGGGCCCTCTTCGGTCGACGCGGCCATCATCAGGGCCTGCAGGGCTTTCTGGAATGGGAAGAAGCCCGAAACGATGCAGACGCCAAAATCTTCCAGATGCCCAAGACGGTGCTCGATGTGGGTCTCTTCGGGCCCCACTGGGGATCCTCTTGTGGCCCTCTTTGGCCGTCTTGGGGGCCTCTTGGGCCGCCCTGCGGCCACCTCTGGCGGCCTCGGGGCCATGTTGGACCGTCTTGAGGGCATTCGTCGTGGAATCTCGGGAGCGCGGACAAGATTTGTTGTTCGAGCAGGAGCGTTGAAGCATGGTTCTTCTTCGATGGGACGTGGCCCCGGGAGCTCGAACTTCTGACTTCCGTGAGGTCCCGGCCTCGACGGCACGGAGAAATCTGCTGTTGCGATGGAAAGGGGGGGTGCATGTGGGTGAGCGCTGCTCCGGGGGGGGGGGCGTCCCCTAGAAGGTTGATTGAAACCATACCAGACGGCCCTTGACATTCTTGCACGCCTCATCGTGCTAGGGGTCTCGATGTCTGATCTCTTTCGGCGGTCTTCGTGTAGATGTACTCCCCGCCTGAAAGGCATCGTCCGATCTTCGGCCTCGGCTTCAGACATATCGCGCCGCGACGCCTCGCTTGCGTCGAAGTGGCTATCAGTGTTGCTCCGTTTGGCCATGCTGGCTTGGGTCGTCATCGGGCGGAATTGGCTGCACGCGCATGCCTTGCTTGAGCAGACTGGTCCGAGGCAAGACTCAATGCCGCAGCGCGCTGCGCGCGGCCCTGCGCTGGGAGGTCCGCCCCCCGAAGCGGGGAGCCGTGCCGCACTCCTCGTTTGGTGGGGTCCGCGTCGGCGGCCGCACCTCCCGCTGCCAACTTGGCCAGGGAGGAGGAACGTATCCAGAAATCCAACGCATGGGAGCAAAAAGAAGACGGAGGCTTTCTCATCGTTTTCGGCCTCAAGGGGCCCTCGCCGGGCCCCGGGACTGTCGGACACCGGCCTTAAGGGGTCCTCGGGAATGGGTCGAGACCTCCGAGGACCCCGCATTGAAAAAATCACGGCGTCGGATCTCTCGGCAGGCGGTCGATCAAGAACCCGCTGTCGAACGCAACCATAATGCAGCTTTCGCGCCGGAGACCGCTGGAAGACCTCCGAATGCAGCGGCTCGGGCGGGCGGGCGGTCCTGGAGAGGGCCTCCCAAAAACGCGGATCAGGAAACGGGAGCAGAAGAGAGAGGAGGACAGCGACAGGGGCGTGTGGAGGGCGGGAGGGGGAGAGGAAGGGGGAGGAGGAGCGATAGGTAGGGTGGGGCGGAGGGGGGGATCTGGTAGCAGAAAAAGTAAGGCGCCGAGGTCGCCTGGACGAGAGGATAACGAGCTGGCGCGCTCGGCGGGCCGCTGCAGAAAAGTACAGATCGGCGCTTGTTATAATCTGCGGAAGCTGGGGCTGTCGGGCAGGCTCGTTGGTCCGATGTGTGAGGTGTAGAGCCAAGACGCAACAATCAGTTAAGCTCGCAAGTCCTTCGGTCTTAGGTAGGCGGTTGTTCCCAAGGCCGCTCGCTCATCCAGGCGCTTTGGGGGCCGAACACTTGGTCCGCTCCTTGTTCAGCGTTCCTTACCGCTCCTTGTTCAGCGTTCCTGATGGCGTATGGTAGTTGGAGGGTTAAACAGGAGGAGCGGAGTCCAGGAGATGTGCGGTGGATCCAAAGAGATGTTCGGGACACCTTGGAGGTTTGAAATGATTATCCGAGCTTTGCGGAAGTTGTGAAGTTAAGAGGAGCAGCCGCGCCGATGCGGGCGGATGTTCCTCAGCATTGCGACCCAATCGCATGGTCACATAAGTTGCACCCATGCGTCCCCCCTCTAGTCCTTTTCTCCCTTCATGGGGTTTTCTCTTCCACGTCTCCGAATGTAGACAGAAGAGTCCTGGATCACCTTCAGGGACGCGATGGTACGGTCAACACCCTCAATTCAAGCACAGTTTGTGGTCGGCTTGGGCTCGTTGTTCCGTGCTTATGGCCAGAGAGGGCCTTAGTTGATCGCAGTTTGATTGTAATCTGGCTTGGCGTTTCGCGCCCTGTGTCGGAGAGCCTATCTTCCCCAGTCAGTAGCCACTGACCGTGAAGGTGTAAAAGCGCGTTTCGCGCCTCGAGCGGTCTGCGAGGCGCGAGGTTTACGGTCTGTTTTTGGGGGTCGCGTGCCAGTCCGCCAGTTTTGGCCCACCACTCTTCGGCGCGCCACGCTGTCCAATCGCCGGCCGCCGGACCCCAAGTGTCAATGTCCAGAGCTTTTTCCGAACCTCCCTCGGCGGAACGGAGCGACACGCTATCCGCTCTCGAGTGATAGCCTGTCGCCTGGGCCGCTGCAAATGTTCCCGACCGTACGTGACGCAGAGATGATCATATTAGAGTGCTGTCTTGTGAACGCCACGACGCGCCCGGGATTTTCTGCCCTCGATCGGATGGGCGGTACGTGCAACAGGGGCAGAAGGAGAAATTACCAGCAGAGTTACCGATTGGCACCACGCGCCTATCCACGGAGTTTCATCCGGTCTTGCATCAGAGCGGGCTCCTATGACAGAATTCGGGATCGCTGGGCGACCCTGCAGCCATGGGTATTGGCCCTGGGCGATTCTCTGCAAACTTTGAAGACCCGTCTTGCCCCTAATAGGCGGGCACTCGCGGGCAAGGTGTCGACCATCAGTGGTGGCCGTGAGCTCCCAGTCAAACAGAAGCGTGGAGCAATCTGATGACTAGGAATAACCTGACGCACCCCGATCCAAACCTCTTTCCCCAACCGTCGAATCATGACCACAGCAATAGGGAGACAACTAAACATAGCTTTCGCCTGAATTGCACGCTCTCGTGCGCACGGAGCTTCATGGGCAGACGAAGTGATTGTTTCCATACACACCTTGCACTGCCATTTGCCACAGGTGCGATCGAAGCGGGGGTGGAGGAGGCCAGGGCACGATTGCGCCTTGAAATGTGAAGCCTGGAAGGAATGCCCACGGTATCCAAAAGAGCACGGTGGGCTCGCAAGCGCATGAGCGAAGCCGTGACATCTATTTCGTCTCTGCAGGGGGCGTCTCCTACAAGAGGCCAGCTCCCATGATCTTCCCCCGTCATGCGGCTCTGCTGGCCAGCTCGCCGGCAGCACCATTGCCTTGGGCGCCAAAAACCAGATGGGCGGAAGTGATGCGACCATCTGGGGTCTCGTCGAGGCGAGAGTGGGGGCCGCTCGAAAGTGGCGTCGGCTTGGCGGGCGATAAAAGCAGCACAGGCCTTCTGGGTGCCCCCGTCCTGCCCCAGCCTGGATCCCAGGCTGGAGGAGGAGGAGGGGGAGGAGGAGGAGGAGGAGGAGGAGGAGGAGGAGGAGGAGGAGGAGGAGGAGGAGGAGGGGCAGGAGGAGGAGGAGGAGGAGGAGGAGGAGGAGGAGAGGAAAATAGGAGGGAGGCGAAGGAGGAAAGAGACGGGAGGAGGAGGATGGACGCGAGCCTCTTTCGGGAGCCCCTTGCCTTCTCAGAGGGCCTCGGCCCATTTCACACACCCCTCTTGCCCGCCGCCGGCAGAGGGAGGCGATAGGGTGCATCCCTGGCGGGGGGGCGGAAGAGCGGAGCCAAGGAGGGGCCCAATGATTCAGGGTTAAGTGGGGCATGTCCCTCTACAGGAGAAATATTCAAACATAGGCAAACTATAGCCTGGAGACGATTTCTCCATGATTTGTTTTGACTCTTTTTGCATATGGTTTGACGACTTTTTATTTTCCGCCCAACATCCGCCTGTAGGTGGACATGTCCGACCTACGTTCAGGGGTGGAGTGCGACCAAGCAGAGTGTGGATACACACGGCGAGGGGAGCCCTCTTGCAGATGGGGATGGAGGGGGGGGAGGAGGAGGCAGGCGACGCCGACGGCTGTGACAGAGACGAGGAGGGCGAGGAGCAGGCCACCCGTTGCCTCCTCCTCCTCCTCCTCCCTCGCCCCCCTAGGCCCCATCTGCCCCTCCTTCTCCTCATCGGCACCTTCTTCATCATCGTAACTCTTCTTCTGGGCTCTCTTGCACTGCTGTTGCCTCGACTCTGGTCTCCAAAGTCCCAGGGTCAGGTTTCCTCCCTCTCTTCGTCCTCCTCACGATGAGGAGGATGAGGAGAGAGGAGAAGTCTCTTCTCCTCCGCCTCCCTCGTGCTTTGCTCCGTGCTCCTCGCAGGGGGGCGGGGACGCGCAGTCGCGCTCGGGCCTTCCGGGAAGCCCTCCACCCAGCCTTTGGCGCTCTCGGTTTTTTTTTTTATTTTTTTCTTTTATTTTTTTTTTTTTTTTTTCTATTTTTTTTTTTCTTTTTTTTTTTTTTTTTTTTTTATTTTTTTTTTTTTTTTTCTTTTTTTGTTTTTGATTTTTTTTTTTTTTTTATTTTTTTTTTCTTTTTTTTTTTTTTTTTTTTTATTTTTTCTTTTTTTTTTTTTTTTTTTTTTTTTGGCGCTCTCGGTTCGTCTCCGAGCCTGCCCACCTCTCGCGTCGTCGCTTCGTCTTCCTTTGTTTTTTATTCCCAACCCTCCTGTGTTGGGCACTCGTTTTGATTAGAGCAGTGTGGTCGCCCCGTTCTTCCTTCCTTCCTTCTCCTCCCCTCTCCTCCCCTCCTCCTCTCCTGTTTCCGGTGTTCCCCTCTCCTCTTCCCTCGTGCCGTCGGGCTGCGATTTGCGTAATTGTCGCCACTTTCGTAGGCTCCTGGGAGGCCCAGCGGAGGTGGGTCCCACGCGGATCACCACGGGACCTCGCCGCCCCCTGGGGGGCTTGCGATCTGCGCAACCGTCGCCACTTTCGCGGGCTCCTGGGAGGCCCAGCGGAGGTAGGTCCCACGAAGATCACCTCGGCACCTCGCCGCCCCCTGGGGGGCTTGCGATCTGCGCAAGGTCGCCACTTTCGTGGGCTCCTGGGAGGCCCAGCGGAGGTGGGTCCCACGCGGATCACCACGGGACCTCGCCGCCCCCTGGGGGGCTTGCGATCTGCGCAACCGTCGCCACTTTCGTGGGCTCCTGGGAGGCCCAGCGGAGGTGGGTCCCACGCGGATCACCTCGGCACCTCACCGCGCCTTGGGGGGCTTGCGATCTGCGCAACTGCCGCCACTTTCGTAGGCTCCTGGGAGGCACAGCGGAG